TTCTATTGTACCTATGGAAATTTATTTTGTTTTACGGATATTTGAACCCATACTAACCCTAACCCATGGGTTTTAGCACCCGCATATAGATTGAACCCACGGATATACACATGGGTTCAAATGTGCGTGGGTTCAAATGTACGGTCACCGTACAAACACATCAATCTTTTTTTTAAATATATATATCAATTAATCGTACATCAATCAAAATGATCGACAATTATATCACACGTTTTAGAATTTATCCACAATCAAGCGTTGCGAGAATCTGTATATGTTTATCCAACAACTGAAATTAAATTCTGAAAATAACAAGTAGTAATCTCTCAGAAATTGTTTGATTCTGCGGTTGATAAGATGTTCCGTGAGAAATTGGTCGTGATGTGATAAAATCTCAGGGTCAACTGTTTCATCTAGTTCGTTTTATTGAAGTTATTCGAACATGTGAGTGCTATGATTGGTTTTAAGCAGTGGTTCCCTAACTGCGACCCCCGTAACTATTTAATATGGCCGACCGAACTTATGCGAAATAGTTTGACACTTCATGTTTTTACCTTTTTGCGTTCTTGATACCTCCAAGTGTTACGTCATTATCACAGTTTAAAAACGTGTATAATCGTAACAATTCAATTATACCGGTATCTTAATTATACGTACCGGCATCGGCCTATTGCGGACGCACCCCTCTCCCGCCTGCGAATAATTTTGGCCCCCGGTCAATCAACTTTGGAAACGACTGGTTTAAAGTGTTGGACCTGAATATGCTGACATTACAAGTCACAGATCTTAGCTTTTCCTCATGCCCACGGCCTTACCCCTATTTTAACAAATTTGGCAGGCAAATAATTATTCCCATACTTTTAAAAATAGAAGTTTTTACGGACCGGTGGAATGGTTGAGCTGGCAGAGACTTGTTCGGCTGGTGAAATTCTTAGATTGCCATCAAAAAACGAACAATATTCTAAATGAACAATAAATATTAAGGAACTGCTAAATGAAAGATTGTTTACTCTTTCCCATGCCCGCTTAGCGGTACCGGTTATATTTTGTACTCCAACTAATGCGAGGGTGTGTTGGAATTTTTGGATTTGTTTGTAAAGGTTATTGGATAGAGTAAACCATAAACCACTCAAGTAACCTCTCGAAAATTTTATGGGAGCGTTTTGTTTGTATCTGTGACATTTGAATATTATTTGCGATCTTAGGCTGTCAAATATTTCCATTTTTGTTTAATGTATTTTATGCAATTTGTCCGACAGCATTTCTGGCTTGTTTTATGCATTCTTTGATGAAAAGTTTTATGTTTTTAAATTATTCAAATGGTGATATTATTAATGATGTTCACTATGACTAATATTCTTACTGGTTTAGGTTACTTTATAAGATCATCGTTTTAATCGATCATCTTCATTTTTGACATAGTAGAGAGTTTTAAATTTTTGTTGTTCTTCCTTTAAATGATCTTGTTTAATTATGTAAATGTTTAATATTGAGTTGTTGCTACATTTGCTGCTTTAATTCAGCTGCAAGGTGTCGTTGACTAGATGACTCTTGGAGTCTTTTACAACCCCTCGCCAACTGCAACAAGCTGATATACATTTTGTGATCTCTTACATGCATTTCATTTATTTTATACGATATTGTATATTAGTTTTGCACGATGAAAATAAATATCTAAATTTGAATCACACATGCTTGTAAGTGCTATATACTTTGAAATAGAAATAACTTTAGAAAAATAATTAAAATATCATATTTTCAGAATGTCTTACAGGATGAGTTGTTTTTCAATAAATTTCTTGCCACATTGCTATATAATTGTGCTGAAATTATGTCGTTTTTTATTACGGCTACGTCAGGTAAGGTATTTCAGTAATAGTTCGTTCAATATCATAAATGATTCAATGGCCAATTACCACCAGTTTCGTAACTTATCAAGCCAGGTGATACATCTAATTATTTATGGATATTCTCTTTCTTGTATTAGACGTCATTTTGTAAGCGGGAAATTAATATAAAAAATGCATAAATATACCCGATTCTAGAAGTAATTTAATCTCAACACATTACCACATCTCGAATCACGTGTATAGTATATGGGCAGCGTAGTTTATAGCCATCGTTGTTTTGTATCATTTGTGAAAACCATATTCATTGTCGATCAAGTTTACCATAATTGACACAAAGTTACATATATATGCCGAATAATTTCTACTACGCAATCCCATTCGTCCTCAAGACTCAAATCAGCAGACCGGAAAAGATTTTCCCGTACAACTGTATTCGAAAGTCAATTTTTGCACTTCACGGACTCGAGCCGATAGCGAAATATGACAAATTGAATGGTGCATTAATTTTTGGCACTTTTGTTTTCTTTTGTTAATATATATTGACATTTATGCAGGTGCTATAGGAATTTTGTACGTTACTTTGTGGCAACAATCTCGTTTGCCCAAGCACATGTTCAATTATGACATAGGTCAAAGTTGATTTTCGATGGTTGCCACATTGATATTTTGCCTGAGTTTAAAATAGATTTTAGTGCTCAGTATGTTTGCATGTAAAATTGCAAAAGTATAAACAATAAATATGCGGTTTCACAAACCTTGTTGACTTTTAAAGTTTATCCCACTTTTGTTTGGGGTCGTTATGCTTATTGCCCTCTTGATGGGAACGTATTAAGCCGAGAACGTAGCCACCAACTGCCCTTGGCATAAGCCCTGCAACCGCGCACGCTGATATGCCGCGATAAATCGATCTTGAAATCGATATTTCAGACTGCTGTGGGTTTTACGTAAAGAATTCAGCATTGGAGTGTACAATGTGTCATATATACGAATTTGACAAGCGGAAAATTTGGGCCGCGTTTTGAAGAGAAAACCTCTTCTTGAAACAAATTCTAGTAAATCACAAATTACTCGTGCGTAATTTAGAATTAATGCAATCGGCTCTATATAGTTGTACAAAATCTCCGTGTTTAGATATGGATGACTGATACGAGGAATCTTTTATTTCGATTGTAGTCGTAAACTATCATATTCCACGTTTACAAGTAAGTGTACGTTTGAGGTCTGCTTCCCGGTACTGGACGCGACGAAAGCCCTAACCTTGAAATACTAGTCATATTTATCATATGTAGGAGAGTCCCTCGAGTCCACAAGCTCGCACAATCATGGATTTCATCCAAGCCTTGTTTACATCAGTCAGTTGGTCATTGGGGATTAAGCTACTTCGTCCGCCAAAATGGTAACTTAATATGGAGTTCGCACCGTAGTTGACTTCGTGCAAATGAGCAGGAAAATAAGACGGTCATTGTTTTTTATGCATGATTTTACTCCAGACTGTATTTTTTCCATTATAAACATTGATGAACAATATTATGATAATGAAGCTAGTATCATCCAAACTCAAATATTTTGTACAAAGCCCCGCCACTAATACAAAAATGTGAGATTTGGGAGAAAGATCCGCTAAATTCACATTGTGCAAAATTCTTCATGCCGTCTAGTGTAACTTCTGCAGAATATTCACCCCTGTCATCAATTTGCTGGATCGTGAACAACCCAAGAGCGTCGTTCATTTTGTAGTCGTCCGTACATCCCTACGAAAACTCTTTTTTCCGACTTTCATTAACAAAAATCCTATTAATGATCAATAGAAGTAGGCGACTTTTCTTCATTCGAAACACAAAGGCATTTCTCCTTTGTATCAAGTCTATCATCGTCAACCCCGGTTGTTTCCATACCCGTAGAAGTGACTTGTAAGTTTCTCTGCGAACGCTATAGAAATTACTGTGAATATGCCCAAACTCTTATAGGAAATTAACTGTGTATACCCTGTTGCATTCTTTAGTTTTTAGGCCATTTAAAAATAATAAACCATAGATGGATGTACGTACGTAACAGCCATCATTTTTATATGGCCTACTTTTCACATTGCCCACTATGTTACATTACTCTACTTAAATATTCAGTTAATTTAGCCGCATTTTGTTGTACCTTGGAACAGACGACACCACTGTCAAGTGCTTTCGGACGATCGCTACTTCACTTTTACAGCGTTTTCAATCAAAGCAGAACGGACGGGACTTTGGTCATTAAGAGCGGATTACAATTGGTGAAATCGTACGATAAAGTCTTTTTCAAAAAGCAGCACTTATCTTTCACTGTCTGTGTGTGCGCAGCCGAGCGGCACGAATCTTCGTCGTTCTATCGCTGAAGTCAGATTTATTGAAGCCTTGGATTCCCATACATTGCATTCATTCACGTATATGGACGCTCGTGATAAAGTCGACGATGTATGCGGACCCTTCATATTAGCTTTTCTGTGATTAAACAAGGGATGGTTTGTGTACTCATCTCTTGAACAGCGCTATACCTAGCAGCATAAGCATAGGCTCGCGTCAGAATAAATGTCAAGAGGTATCGACTCAGCTAGCGTTTCGTTATGAGTTTTCCGATAGACTGGTTATTAGACAGCAAAATTGTAGGTTTTAGAGTTTGTTATTACGCCTGAGGAGATTGGACTTAACGAAATACGACGGTATCTAGTTATGAATTTGTTGGTTTAAGTCAAAGTTCCTGACAACCGGACGTTAAATATTTATATCAGTTATTTATTTATGCGCCTATTGGACCTCAGTTTTCGACCAAACATCAGCGAAAGTAATCTCACAGATATAGACCAGCGCAGACTAAGATCGCAAAGTGTAAGAGAAAATGTTATGACCTAAGAGTTTTAGACCAAACAAGAACCTGTTCAATAGTTGTTCACGCTAGAAAAGTTGGAAGTTTAGAACATGTTAGGCACTTGAATGATATGGAGTATTAATTTGTAGTATTTTCTGTTAGCCGGTACTTTTACTATCCACGGCGTCTATATCTATGTATGGCGAAATTTACGTACCCCACGCAAATCTGCGTTACGCAATACCGCGTAAAAATTTGTCATTGTACGTATGGACGGTGACAGCGGGTACTTAGCTATCTTTTAAAAATCGTTTGTTGTTTTTATGTTAGAGTACTATACATAATAGTTTTTAGTCTGACTGGATCTATTCATCTTACACCTAGCATGACATCACTCTGTTTTTGACACAATGCCCTGGAGCTTACGTAAATTTTTATCAAAGGATACGCAACAGACTTCAGACGGTTTGTTCTATTTATATTATTTGTAATTGGACTTGAACAGAGTCGGGCGTGTAATTTTAATAGTTGATGTGCGCTGGTTGGTATTTACTGAAATAACAATTTTTATCAGTCTCGACTTGCTTCTAGAGTTGTTTCATTCAGCAGCCTGGTATATTCCAATTGTTTAAGTTAGCGTTTTATTGGGAGTAACGTTGTAGTACATTGTTTGAGATGGGAATAGCCTATTTTCGCTGGAAATCGCCAGTGCCAGTTTTGCCAAACTGTATCGCGCAACGGTTATGAAATTTTCTACTTTATTTGGTCACCGATCGTCAGAAAGTCATTCCAGACATAGTATATATCAAATTGGGTCTGTTTAGCCATCTTCCAACTTAGGCTTGTGAATAGAGCATCAGATCGATTAGTTGCGCTAAATATAAAGAGCAATATATTTGGAAGTACTCACCCTTGCATTACGTACTGTTGTCGCATTTATCTGGGTATACTGGATATACCGTATTGTATGGATTTTTCTGCGGCTTTTTCACCGATTGTTAGAAATTCATTCCAGCTATAGGGTGTACCAGACGGGACTTTTTTGGATGTATTATTCAACTTCGGCTTATGAATTTAGCGGTATGTATGTGCGTTAAAAGGGAGCGTTAAAAAGGGAGGTATATATTTGGAAGTATTCACCCCGGTGTTTGTTATTGTTTTCGCTTTTATTCCGATGTATACTGTATAGTTGTCTGGAAATGTCTTGCTTGTCCGCTTCTAATTCAAGGATTGTTTTTTCATGGGGTCACATTTATTTGGTTATGTTGGAAAGCCCTACAATACTCAGTGACATGGAAATTCGACCATTTGTCAAAAAACATTCTCACGGTTAGAAATTGTTTGGTTCACTTGCAAGTTGTCAGAAGGCTCCACACTCGAATGATTTTCGCCCAATTGATAATTTGCACCACGGAGGCCCAAATCTCGAATAAATTGTGGTCTTCTGTTCTACCGACATTCGAATTATCGGTGCATGCAAGTCACGAGCCGCCCAGATTGGAAAAATAGTTTCCATTATTACGTAGAAAGTACACTATTGTTCTCTGTGAATGGCGTAGTGCCGATTATTGATTACGACGTCATAAATTCATAGAACAACACGCGTTTTCGCAATAAAGCTATTTAACATGATTAGAGTTATGAACAACAAAGTTGGTTGCTAATTACTGGTTCCCTGGGGCGTATTTCCCCATAAAGAGTGAAGTACAAAACCAGCAAGTGCAATACGGGCTTATCAAAGTCAAGAGAATAATTGATATTCTTGTCGAGCACTCAACTTAGGATATTTCACACTTTTGAAATCACGTGTGTGATAATTTCCATGAAAACAAATGAAACAATATTTTGCTGGTGTGCTTGAGTCCTAGAAAAATATATCACAACAGTATTTCATCAGCATGCATTACACCTATACGTTAATAAAAAACTTTTCATAAAAATGTGTAGTTTCGGTATCAATTCCGCGTTCAAAATATTCACATTATCGTTTGTCGATTACAAAGTATAATGTTCGTATCTAGAGTACCGCATTCCACATACATAATATAAATTGAACAGAACTTTTTAGTTTTTACACGATTTCGAAGTGTATTAGTATTAAGGTTAGACAAGTTGCCTGGAAATATGTATAACCTCGTTGGTGGGAATGGTACATGACGATATAGGTTATAATAGCAAACATGACTCGGTCAGGCCAGTGAGAGTAAACAACAGCTTTTTGAATTCCAATGAAAATTGTAGACGTCACATGAAGTCAATGGAACGCGCAAAATGGGGTTAACGACCGTAATAAGGTGTTTTTAGCCACATGCGTGCGTCAGAAAATATGCTGTCGTGGAATTCATAATTTCTCTATGCTTGAAAGTCCAGACATATGTTTACATGTCTCGCTTACGATTTAAAAATTTTTGCAAAATGTTGGTGAAGTCACTCGTTTTACAACAATTTCTATGTGCATCTGGAGCGCCTTTTCACATCATTTTGCCGCAGAATAATAAATATGATAGTGACGAAAAGAGTTTTTGAGAATTAGACTGATTTCAAAAACCTGATCCCACTCGGCGCTCGGCGTATGACCCTCAAATTGGCGATAGTTTTTCGTGCATTGTTTTTCCATCTTGTATACATGAGAACAAACAAGAAACGACTGCTATAGCATTAATTAGGACATTCGGACACAAGTCAAACGAAGTTCATCATCACTTTGTAGTATGAAAAGAGTTTCAGTTTTGACAGGAAAATTGTACCTTGTCTTATAAATTGTGCAAATGATGACAACTTGAATTTGCGTTTACAATTTTTTAAACATTTTTGCGGAATCGTGATTAACTGTTAAAGTAGTACTGGACTAAACGATTACAATTAAAAAGTTTTTGCAGCAAATTTTGCCCACGCAATTTCAAATGTATTGTAATTTTTAATACAAGCTTCCTATTTTATTATAATCCATATCGCACACCACTTGATTCGGAATCCAGATGCATATTAAATTATTCTGGTGGATTAATTATTTCAAGCGGCGTTTTCTCATTAAATAATTTCCAACTGGAGAGTGTCCCCGACATAAGCTTGTGGATTTCTTTCAGCTAATCCGTTATAATTATCCTCGTGCATTTTATTTTTTCAATTAATTTGACATTCATGTGACCTTATCAAGGACAAGCAGAGTTGGTGTTGGTCCACGGGAGTATAATCTTCAAACTCAACAGCCTGCCGTTCTTGTGGTATATGTTTATTTTAAATTTCCACACACCCTTATAAAGCGATAGATGATGTATCACAAAACTAATTAGGCCGTAATCTAGGAAATGATAAAAACTGCGATGTTATTTTAGACGGTGAAAAATAAAGAATATCTATTCGCAACATATATGGGCTTTAAAATCCACACGCCAATGAAGCAATGAATGCATCATCATAAAACTAAAATGACATAGGTAGAAGAAATAGTGAAAATCGCAATGTGGCCTGCATTTGGTCTGGTGTCGGTTACCGGTATAGATGTGTGAGAAAATGGCTATTTTGAACGTGCTGAAAAACGTGTATGAAGGCTCAATAATTCGTGCACACAAATTCGGAAAAATCTGCCCACAAAGCATATATAGGCCTAGTTACTTGTACACTCATTGTCCTTTCATGATAATTAACCATTTTCTGCAGTTTTAGGTTTAATCTATTTCCATGCTGCGTTGAGCGCTATGAAATACTATTAGTATTGAGCGGGATCTTAATCCTACAGTCTATTTGGTCAACAAAATTCAATTTCTGTTTGGACGTGTGACATGTTTGTCACATACAATTAATCCGGTCAACGATCGATTTAAATTTTAAATCACCAAGTTCCATAAGTTGCGACGAGCGATTATATTGGAAAAGTAATAGTGCTGGTGGTATGTGCATCCCTGGAGAAATGAGAATTGTAATATTGGTTTATGTAAAACGCCGTTATGTTTTATCATTTTTCTATTTATATAATAAGAATTTGTCGAAGGTAAAATCAGGCATTAGAATCACCCATATGAAGTAACAAAAACCGCACTTTAGGCAGGAGATATACACAAGTTGGACTTAGTGTGGTTATTTCTTGTCCTAAATGTATAAATGGTATATCCGGGATTTAGAGATGGGTATATAAATGAAATTAAAATTACAGCGAGCTTTGTTGATGCCATTTTGTACTAATTAATAACGCCGTAATTTCTATGGGTTCGTCATTCTATGGGTTCATCAATTATGAGGATCTGGTTTTAGTAATTGGTCATTTAACGGTTGACCGTCCCTCAACAACAAACCGTCTCTTTTTTATGCGAAGTTGGCATTTGTCATTCGGCTGTAAAAATGACTTACATAACTAATTATCTACTTGAGCACTGATATGTTCAAACCGATAAATCATCACTCCAGAAATGACTGTGTCAGTGAACGAAACACTAGGTTCCCATCGTAAAATTTCATTGCGATTAACTGCGTTTGCAAAAATGTTGCTTTTATTGCTAAATCTATTACCTTGTTGACATTGGTACGTCATTTAAATGCACCGAATAGTCATTTTTAAACGCGACACATCATTTAAATTGACTGAGAAGTCATTTTTGAAAGCCACACGTTCCCATGAACTATTTTTAGCTATGGTTATAGTATCTCTCATGTAATGAATGGAAATCAATATATGGGTGACAGTTTCACTTAAAGTCGTTTTCAGTCGACATGAGTGCGGTTTTCCTTAGCGAACTATTCTTAAAAAAATCAATGTCTGATTCGAAGTGTTTGCCTTTCCAGACAAGAGCGGTATTTTGTCAAAAATTATCCCTAGTATTGATCGATTGAGTAAGAATAATGTCACTGCGTCATAAAATTGTGAATGTTTTCATCATCCAACGAAAGGGGAAACTTTTTTTGTGGTTTCTAGACATTACTCGTCGTGTACTGGTTGTGCGCGCTTCGAAATTGTGTCTCTCAACTAGTACGGATCCGCGATATTAGTTAGAACTGCTTATTTGCATACCACGCTATGTTGGCAAAATACTTTGGAATATTCAGCGTTTCATTATTCTGATATCCCGCCATCAAATCGTTATATTTCGTCGGTTTCTTCATAATTGGCCTATTGTTTATGATCTCGCGAGTCTTGTTGACCTTTTCATGTATCTGATTTCGATTGAACGAAAACCTTTCATTGTTCAGTGTTGTAAAAACATCTCCCACTATTCATTTGAAATGACTCGAACAGGACAAAACGTCGACGACAACACCGCCTCAACAATATACCGTTTATCGCCATCGCCATAGTTGAATATTTCGAAAGCATTCCTAGTTATTTGTTTGAGTTTAGAGTAATATTGATCAGAATGCAATCCAACGTTCTAAGACTTATTGAATTGCACCTAAGTCATCCCTCTGCTAGTAAAATTACACAATCTTAAACTCCATAATTGCTTGGACGTTCAGTTGGATTTTGTGATTTGTTGACCGATTCACTAAAATTGGATAATCTAGATCTTTTTGAAACGGATATAACGCAGTATTTTTGTCTTATGCCCTTTTACTATTTACCGACCCTTTCCGAATTTTGTAATTTAATTAGACCTTGGCGTAAATATTGTCGCATTATTTCGCCCATATCTTGCTGTTTGTTTATTTATTTACTTCAGTCTTAAAAAGATCTGTGGTTTGCAAGTTCTGTGCTCGAAAAATTTTCGGCTTATAGATATTCTGGTTAGAACGGTCTAAGGTCAAGTTTATTTTTGCGGTCTTTCCAATTTTTTTGAAGGCTTAAATTTGGAAATGAAGTTTGTGAACTTAGATTATAATTCGAAACGGCTATTTACTGGCAAAACTGGCTTCGGCGATTTCGGTGTGATTATATGCTTTGGATATTCTCGCAGTAATGTTTAATTGTTGTGTAGAAAGGTAATTGTGTGGTTGTTATTTGTTAACACTTCTGAAGTGTGTATCATCTCCTTAACTTGCGGCAGGTGGCGATAAAGGGCGGAATAAAAGTGAGAAAATTTCAAAGCTTGGAAAAATCCGCCAGCAATTAGGAAAAGTAGGCGGAACCACTGCGGGAGATTCATCAAATCCGATTAAAAACGCTGAAAAGCTTGTTGAGGTCGGAAACGAACCTGCTGGGTCGCAAGAACTCAAATTGGAGGATTTCCCTAGGGAACTCAGCTCCAATGATGAATTAATTGATAATGACGAAATAATTAAATCCGATGACGAAGATTACAAATCCCTCGAAGACTTTCCAGAAGATTGCTCGAATTTGACAGGTTACTTGGAGTCAGCAATCATGGAAAGTCCTTGTAATACGTTGGAAAGATATGGAAAATCGATCGAAAATAGCGGGCCCGTAACCGATCACGATTTGGGAAATGAGATAGCTGGCGTCGAAGAAAAAGAAAACGATCCCAATAACGCTGAAGAAATTGACGAAAAATTGAAAAGCTCGTCTTTTGATCGGGGCTTGTATATCGAGTATGTGAACTATGACCTCCTAGGTGCGGAAGAGGGAAGTAACGGGAGCAGTGGCGAGTACTACAGTTCTGACGAAGAAAAATTCCAAAATTCAAACAATAACAGTAATAACCAACTAAATGCCGATGAAGCGAGAGACGGCGACGAAAAAGTTATTACAACATCGGATGACAAAATACCTGATGATAGCCTGAGGGTGCGCACAGGTAATGTCGACCGGAACGACGGCGCTAATAGTAGCAATAACATTCCTGAGACTTCATACTACGGCGATCTCGTTAAAAACACAGAGGAAAATCGTAAAAACGAAAAAGGAAACTCGTTGTCGTCGCCCAGTGCATTAGAGCGTAACGAAAATTCAGGAAACGACGACAAGTCGAGCGAAAAAGACCGCAAGGATATCGATCTCAAAATCGGACCAGATAGTGAGCGAAAAATTGTAGCCGCCGAGACGGAAGAAGAATATCATAATGGCGGAGAAATAGATCCCAAATATTTAAATCAGGAACAAGATTGCTGTATTCATAATGATAATGTGGATGTAATTGAATCTGGAAATACCACAGAAATGGAAAAGGCAAGAAGTATATTCGGTATGTACTCATTTGCGATTCTTATACATTTCACATATTCATGATATGTGAATCATTTATTGGGTAAATATTTGTTCGCAACAAGCCGGGAGTATCAAAAGCCTAGTCGACTAAAACGGTTCTATCGTCTCCAAACATACTTACCAGCTAATATTGAATGACTTTATATAAAATTAAGATTTTATCAAAAACTATCTCCGACTACTTCATTTTAATTTTACCACAATTTTGTTATTTCAGTGGCCTTCGCTATGAGTCTATGTCCTTAGATAACTGATTACTTTCCATACTTACGGTATTAGGAAATTATGTGAAATTAGATCGAGTTTTCATGTTAATGTTCCTACATAAAGATACCTATAAAATATAGAAACACAATTTAAAAAAAAAATGGCATATTTCATCTGAACTGAATTACAGAGAGAAATAGTTTTGGGGTTTTGTTATAATTTTGTTGGTGCCATTTTCTCACCTTATACAAAGTTAAGTGTAAGTGATGTAATACGCATGTGCGTAATATTGTCGGCTTTTACTTTCAAGTTAAGAAATGTGGTTAAAACCGCTAACGACTTCCAATTCACACAATAATTTAATACCCTCTGCGGAAATGTCATCATAATTATCATGGAGCGTATATCAAGATAACTTTCCAATCAAGGAAAGTTCTATTGTAAACTGTTCCATATTTTTCATTCAGCTGTTATTGCATTCGATTTTACGTGTTAAGATTTTACATCAAATCGATATCTATTATTTAAATCACAGACATACTGAATATTTCAGTACCTAGAAAAGTCTTTTTTCAACTTCGAAATTATTCTATAACGCATAAAGTGTCAAAAGTTGTTAAAAATATAAATCTGGAGATAATGTGATGTAAATATTTTCAACCGGACGTTCTTAGGCTCGCTTATGTATTTTTTTGTCACGCCCGGGAAATGAATCTTCGAAAACTATCAACATTTTGTATAAATGAATTCAAGTTTTCAGACTGATAACTAGTCCAGAAAGCCGTGTTGTGACCTCCATCCTATTTTTAAAATAATGCACACAGACAAACATACTTCATCTGATGCAGTTGGGATTTTGCAGTTTGTAGTCGGATCGCGCTATGAGCAGTAATATCCATGAACTCATTTCTGTGTTGTGAATGAATTAAATCGTGTATTTTTATAAACCACTCATTATGGTTTTCAATAAGCGATTAAAAATATAGCTAGAAACATTGGAGCACATGACAGCCATGTTGTTATAAATATAAAATATTTTCTTACTTTTGCCTAAAGTTAGTATTTCATTAGAAGGCCAATTATCCATAAACATTAGTTGTTTGTACAAAGGAGCAATTGTTCTTTACAATTGCAGAAGGCCATTTTATTTATATTTGTTGACACTACAGGGACGGTGTTTAGTATATGATTACATTGCCACTAAATTACATTGCCGTGAATTTTGCCGCGGGTGTTTTTTGGCAATTTTCGCTGGCTGTAGCAGGAGAAAGACGTTGTCAATTTTTAATACAAACTGGAGACTTTGTATTTGTAATCATGCAGTAGACAAATATTTTAGTAATTGATAGCTTAGTGTGCAACCTTGCGACGCCATAGAATAATACGTGACCTATCTTGCCCCTTGTCGAATTTAAACTTTATATTCGTTTTCGCAAAAGATCATATGTCGTAACTTTACATAAAATATGTAACATGCCTTGTTGAATAAAAAAGTTAGCAAGCTTGACCTGCTAATGCCAATGCCTATGAGTCTTAAGGGATTCAAACTATTTATTTTACTCTGTGTTCAACTGTGGCTACACGTTCCCCAGTTAGCAATTCATACGTAGTCTAATCTGCGTTCAGGTTGGGCTTAATCAGGTATTGGTTCTTTTTCAATCAGAAATTAGCTCTTGCGCCATTTGCCAACAATTCTTCGCGCTAACGCGTGCTTCTTCAATGGCCAGACTCGTTATGGCATACCTCATGCATCTATGCAGTTGCCGATGCATTTTTTTGTAACTCGCCGTCTGCTAATGCAACATCAAAACAATGTACCGACAACTGCAAACCTTTGTTTTCAGAACGAGATGCTAATCCGTGACTTCCATTCAAATGAACCGTGACGGAGGTCATAGGTTACAAATTAAAAATCGAATATGCGGGTGGCATATGTCGCAACACTTTGTACGCAGACTGTACTTTCTTCCCGAAGTAATTGTCTAGGGATTGAACACAATTCAGATGCGTCCACTATCAAACATATTGTGTACTTTAATGCAAGCGAAATTGAATTATAGGAGGGAAAATATGCTTCGATTTGATAAAGGTCATAATCGTATAAAAGTTCATTTCAATGCACATTTAGTGCTTTTATTATTCTATCTAATTACGCACTAACAAAATTCGGGCAGATGTGACCATGCACGTTTTCCATTTGGCATGATTTTCCAGTTTCCATATTTTTCGTGCCTTTATTAGAACAGCGTACATCTTGAGTTTTATTGGTGTCATATTGAGGCTTTCAAACGTCCGTAACCCCCTGCAAGGCATGGTATCTCGGACATATCTTTCTCCAAGTACCGCCATAATTCGCCACTCGTTCCCTCCTGTCTTCCGACCAAGATAAACATGATAAAATAAACTGCTGATGGATTGATGTTCATTTTTACTTTCATGTTGCAGTAAGCATGGACGAATGAAAATAGCTCGCATTCCATGCACAGATCATTTATGATTTGTACTTGACTAAATATAACATTGTATACCAGAGGATTACAATCTCGTAACATAGTAGGATCTATTGTGTTGATTTTACGATGTTGATTTAGGGACTATACAATAGCGACATGGGGAGTCAGACATAGCAAATACGTAATAGACTACACTTTGGTAATTCTGAAAATAATTACCATCGTGGTATGTCCATCATTTTATTGTGTTTCTTCTAAAAATAACCGTTTACTTAATTTAAATGCAATTTCTCAGTTAAATGTAATTCAGTGTTTAATTGTTAATGGTACAAAGTGTCGAACTCCGTTATATTCCAATTCGATCATACATATCTCGGCGCTGATTTGAAATATAAAAGCACACACTTTTGCGCCTACCATACGTTTCTCTTTATTAAAACTCGTTGACTACGCTTTTGGTCAGTTTTAAGCTCAATCCGACAATGTCGTATCAGATAAAGATATCTTTTTAGTTCGATGAGTTTCGCGTTTCGATATTCTGCGTCGCGTCATGTTTTTGATTGCGTTTGGATTACATTCTAATGTGGTTTCAACATTGTACGTGATGTACTGCACTCTACTCAATTAATTTTTTTTTGGTAGCGTATTTCAACAATTTCGGCGAAATATAAAGTCTTGTCTTATTTTAGAAGAATTCGTATCTGGTATAATGTTAAAAATATAGATATTTGGAGCACTTCTTCAGCAGCTTTTCATTTTAGCCAGCGGATTTATTATTCCTTGTCGTGTCATTATTAGTTTTGCATTTTCTAACTATTTTAAGCACAACATCCACTTCTATTACCAAAATAAATTTTCTGGATTCAAAGCCCAATATTATTGCGGCATATTGTCATGCGATACTGTGCTTTATTTCAGTTTGTTATTACCCAAAACTTCATTCATTGAAGCGTAGAATAGGGGTCGTGTCACGCCCAAGTTATTGCTAGACCAACCTAATCCATACTGTAAAAAATAAACCTAAAATTGACTATGCTTTCACTGTAATTTTAATAACATATTGAATTCTTCGATTGAAATGCAGTGCCTGTGCATAAAATGCTATAAAATGTGAGAGTTGTATAATAATTTCGGGTCGTTGGTACGTAATGGAAGACGAATGTTTTCATTTCGCTCTTTGGGTATTGGATTTTATGTTTCGGTTACAAACTAAAGTTAAAACTGCACTCTCAACCAAGATCACATTAGGCGCACTTTCCAAGTCTTTGCATTGCATTATCGATCTTACGGCCCCGATGTATTTTCGATCTCAACCGGGCCATATTCCGATGGTGATAATTTCTATGTTTCATAGTAATGAGAAAATATGAAATATTTGAAATTCCTTCATTGTTGATCATCATCCATCACCTACATAGTTTTGGACTTAGGTCGGCATTTTGTAGTAAAAACACCAATATTTATCTTAGTTGAGCCAGATAAGGATAAGGTTTAGAACTTTAACCCATTACAAAGATGGCACTTTACTTTTTCGTAAATCTTTCAGCTCAAAGAGATAAGCAACTTACTAAGTAAATGTACTCATTTTATTTAAGTGCATAAGTGGGTACTCCCGTAGTGTGTGTACCAGGTTAGGATTAGGCCATAATTTTATTTCGATTTTTCTCATTTTAGTTCTATTACGAGTTCGGGGTCTGTGTTAGCCAAGTGAATAACCCACCCTGCCCATAGGTTTCAGTCTCTTTACACAACTTTATGTAAAGTAGGCGAACAAAATAGTTACCTCCATATTGTTGAACACAATTCTGCAGCGCTCAAAAGTGTATGCTCATACTCTACAATCTACATGTACAGCTCGCTCGTTCAAAAATTATTCGCAATCAATCCCGTTATTTTGATGATACCAATTTATCAACTTTTTATCAATCTAGTTGTCTACTTTATTAAATCATACTTTATTAAATCATATTTATTTCTTTATATTTATTGCATATGGGAACATAATATTATTGGATTTGATATCCTTTTGATTTTCTAACGCCTAAAATTTGAATTCGTAAGAACCAGACCTCTGCATTCTTCAGTAATCGGTATACATTATTCTCTCCGATACATTATTCATTGGTCCCCACAAGTGTAACTTTATTATTGGTTAAGAATACTTGACAACTTGAATGGCTTTGACAGCTGGTTTCCGACATGCATATCTCAACCATCTTTTTCCTGCCTGCCAAACTTGAATAATTAAAAGATTTGGTTTGGACCACAAACAATGCCGATTCGTGTAAAATGTCTTTGTCTTCAAATAAATAAAATTTAAGAAACTGGCATCCCGCTTGGATAGTTTCAAATTGTGAATTGAAAGCAGGTGCAAACGGCGAACAACTTGAAATTTTATTGTCGTATTGTGTAGTGTGCGTTTAAAAACTATGTTTCGAGGGTTGCATGCTTGCTCTGATATTTGTTATAAGGATGAAGCTTGAAAAAAAAATTATTGATTCTAATTATTTTTTCGTCTTGGATTGTATTCACATTTAGAATTGCGACCCATTGCTTGTACAAGCATTCCAAGAATTTCCATTTTGTCCTATACGGATTCATATTATATAAATATACCTTGCAATCATTTCCATAAATAATATATGAAATTAACAGTTTTTCTCCACAAATTTTCAAATTTCTTTCCCCGTTGGGATTTGTGGTCTTATTGCTAAAGGATTACGTCTCATTTGTCTGCTGTTTTGCAATAATTGTGAAAGAATTTGATAGTGGAACGACAGTTAAGTATTTTAAAAGCCATGGGCCACATCGATAATGAATATTTTTGCGTTCTTTGCGTTAATCTCACGGAATTTGTGTCTTCTTAACACGTGGCTTATTCAATCATGTGTCCATTTGTCTTTATTAAAGAACAACTTGCATTTTAAATATTTAAGATGAATTGAATCCGAAATTGAAGCTATGATATAAACACGTCTTTGATGACAATGTAGAAACACCATTATACAAATAAGTATACATTTCAATTCAATTTCAGTAATATTCGCTGCACATCGCATGACACTCTCTGATTATATTCCAATTTGGCGGCGATGTCGATTTTGGGTGTTGTCGTTTTCTCATTCAATTTCATGGTATTCACACTTCACAGCATTCCTTCGGTTATTCGAAACAGTTTGCTTTTAGGTACTTGGAGTTTATTTGAATAATAAACAATCGTCAATCACATTTAAAATAATTGGTTATAAGCCGAGGTCCAGTAGCAAGTAGTATATTTTGCGAACTTCTTTTCAAAATTGAATTCCTTTTAAATACTTTAATCATATATGAACTCTATACTTTGTATAAATAAATAACAAAGAACAGTTCAATTTTCAATTTATATATTCACTGCCGCACAACTCAGTCCTCAAATAGTAGCCGTACTGCATTTGCATATTGCCTCAATTTTCTCCGTTCCCAAAGGTACTAATAAAATTAGAAATGATCGTTGTAAAATCCACCAGAGTTTATTTCAGCTTTAAGTGAGCTTAATTCTGTGGTCGGCTGATCAACTTACTTTTAACTGTTTAAATCTTGTTTTTGATTTGTATTCAAGTAGAAAAAAAAAGTATTTTGTTTTGTAGACCGTTCGGCCGAGTACCGTATATGCTGATGGCATAGTGCTTTGGACTTGGTCCTTTCATCGCGTATTATCGATAATTGTTTCATTAATTTTCTGTTTCAACAATTGGTGACCGGAAACGACAAAAAAGTCAATGCGCGTTTTATAATTGATATTATATGATTTTGTCATTGTTAATATCTTGGATAATAGCGTGTGCGCGTTGAATTTCGCATTGAGGACAAAACCATATTTTTCTCGTGTGCTGTTAAACAGGCGAATTTCCAGCTGTTAATGTATTTTTGCAATCGGAATCACCCCACTCATATACGAATAACACCGATACGATCTATTCTTGAACCTTCCTATCTTACAAAGCCGAACTATTTTGGCTTCCAGCATATGTTAATCACGGCTTTGTTCGTGAACGCCGCCAGTAAGCCATAGTGAATAATATTTAGGGTGCCCGTAAAGACTTTCAAGATGTATTTTTGTACGACCAACGTTTGCAAGATGATTTTTCTTTTGACATCCGACAATGTGGAATTTCATTCGGCATAAAATTTCCCTTCCCGCCAACCCAGCATTTAGCCGGCTAAGTTTGGTTATTGGCACTAAAATTAAATAGAATCTCTGCGACCTTGGTAAATATCGTTATTATTAAAATTGCGCCATACTAACATTGTGTTGCTTAATTCTCCACATCATTTTTTGATCGCTGACCGACAAGACAGGTCGATGTGTACTAGACCGAATTATCTTATAATCGATATTTCCAATGTTCCAACTGAATTATTAATGCGTTTTGATAGCATATATTGTGTGGTATATTAATCTTGGCAACATGTGAATATTTGGTGACTAAAACTGGATGAAATTCTTCAAGTATAAAAAGCCCCGGGTTTGTGTTACTTTTTGTTCAGAGACTTTTATTTGTACTTGAAAGAAATCCACGATACAAGAATGATTCAAGTGTTAATTTAGTTTAATAAAAATGGGCCGCATTTACCATTTGCACAAAATAATTTTGTTGCGATAAAAATGCTGACGTGAAAAGTCGATATATAAAACTTTATTTATCGGCTCCAATGTATTTAAAATTTATACCCGACATTATATTTTAAAAATTGGAAAAAAGGGAAATTTCCACAATTCGTGTATCATAGATTGATTGATCTGGGTATAAGAAAGACTTTGCTTCGAATGGTTTATACAGTTCAAAGGTGTACTCAAGAATAGCCGATCAAAAATAACCGAAAGTGCAGCCGATTTCGAGTAAGGAGAATTCGTTGAATTCTTAGTAAAAAATATCACATTGACGCTGCACAGTCGTGATCATATTAAGTAGAACTAGTACGTGACTCGATCATGATTCTCCGCTGCCTAGTCCTACCGTAGAATACACCTCAAAGCAGCGAATCGTCGTGGTTTCGGTGCGTAATCGCAACATTACATCACCGATGACTATCAATAGAGTGTGTGTTTTCTTGTAGCCGATTACGACTATTTCATTATCCTAAAACACAATCTATGTAATCCGGTATGTCGAACACATTTGTGTTCCGAATATAATGAACCATCGAGTAAATGTTGTTATGCTGTAAAGCGGGATCGGTAAAAGTATTTATGTAGAAAATTATTCGTATTTTACTGACAGTGTCGTACCGGTCGCCTAACCAAGACAATACTTCTCAAAAATCCATGATGTTTCGCATTTGGCGCCTCGGTGTGGCTTATTGTGCTAAGCGTTAGGAATACGCTCGCCACCGCCCTCGAACCCCTTGCGGGGATAGTTATGTGCGAGAGGATTGCTGGACTCCGCGGCCGCCGTAGGGTGGTTCACGTAACCGCTCGTCGGTTACGGCTTCGTCCACCATCAAGTCCATTAAAACAAATAACTAACTAATCCCATACCCGACATGGAATAGTAACCGGACGAGAGTCCGTGGTTCGCCATATGGTTGAGCCGTCTTATCGGCTTTCCTCTCCATGGGATAAATATGTAAATTCTATCTTGTGTATTATTCTATCCTGAATTCGTGGGAACTACAACATGTAAATTTTCAGCCCCTTACACACATGTGCACATACCTTCGACGAAAATCAATTCCCAAATGCGTCACCGTTCTCGTGTTTATAAAACGTAATGTTTATTTTTCCTTCACTGTTGTGAATCACTTTGCTTTGTCAAAACTTTTTGTGCCTTTCTTGTTAGATTCGAATTTGTTTTGCATAAAAATGGATTGTTTTTGAAGTCCAGCTCTGGATATTTTTTGGGAGAGTAACTTTTCAGTTTATCACCTTTTACTGAAAACCAGTATTGTTTCATCACAATTAAAATTGTCAGCTCAAGCTTTTACTGGCCAAGTTATAAAACAAATTGTCATCAAGATACTTGGTTGCTTGAACTCTATAAATCATCAACAAAGTGTTAGATTAAGCACTGTTGATTAATAAATTTTTCGTCCAAATCACATTGATGACAGAGCCATAAATAGTTTTTGAATGAGTTGTTAAATTAAATATATGATAATTGTTATTACCAGGTGGTGAAGGATTATGGCATAATCCCTAGAGTAGTTTCATAAAGTTATTTTAGAATGAATCCTCAATTTTAAATGTGCTCAATAATATGCAGTTTATGAACTCAAAGCTTAGCAGCACATTGTCAAGGATCCTAAACTCAATCAACAAAAATATGTGATGTCATTGAATTTTTCCAACCATAAATAAATTTCTAGGTTACCGAGGGGTTGCTCAAAACCCATTTTCGATGAAGTTACCTTGCAAACTTCTGCAAAATATACTTCAGTGAAGAATATTTAACACTACTGATAATAACACCTTAACGCTTTTTACCAAGTCCCCACTTGCAAGATACCAATTTTTTAGGTGTTCAAACATAATTGTTATTCGTTTATCACATCTATGGTGTCTGAATATTCCGCAAATCTAGTTTTTTTACAATTAACCTTTTGTGTGATTAGTCATCTATTTAAATACCAAGGAAATTCTGCAATTCCATTTATTTTACCGAATTTTTTATTTTTCATAGGAATGTGTCTGTGTCAGAATGGTGAACAAGTTGACAATGTGACGGATCTTGATTTTCGTAATTGCAATTTAAAGCAAGTCCCTCATGATATATTTCAATACGCTCAGACGCTCACTCATCTGCAATTGGATTCCAATACATTATCAGACTTGCCGAAGGTAGATATTGTTTTTTACCTTTACAGCATTTTCTTAGATGGCTATTTTATTGATGATTTAATAAAAATTATAAAACATATATTGAAAAACCTGTTTCTCGAAATGAGAATTTATCTGCCAAAAAAGCCTTAGTGGTGGGCAATTAAATATTTAAAAAAAGTGTATCTTCTCTTTCTTTATGTCTTTCATAAGCGATCCTTAATAAACAATTACCTGTATTAGTTCTCTAATTTCCTTGATATATGATTAATATTCTGTGAATCTCAATTTTAATAATCCCATAGCTGTTAGAAGAAGTTTCCCAACCTTCCAGTATTAATATTATAATTGAGTCCATATCTCTTATTTTCAGTCTCTTTTCTCTTGTGAAAACCTTGAATATCTTACTGTAAGCGACAATGACTTAGGATCGTTACCACCTACACTTGCTGGCTTATCATCTTTGAGATATTTGGACATCAGCAAAAATGGTAATTTGCAATTTTCACTATTTTTTTTAAATTTTGGTAGATAAAATTACATTGTAAGTAGCAAAATTTTCTCCACTCCAAGTCAAATTTATACTGCAATGAAATATTTTATTTTTGTTTCCTAGAACTATTGTTCTATTAATAGATCATAGATGTAAGACCCAAAGACATATTTCTGCACTATGAAACTCTATTTGTTAAAGCAAGAATAAAATCTCTGAAAATATAATTTAATCTCTATACTGACATCATAACTCACATAACATTTCAGATTTGAGCTTTTAGGGATATTTTACCTATTCTGCCACTCAGATCAGAGTATTTTTTAATATGTTTGAAGTTAAGCCAATTTTTGTTCTCTTTTTCAGTTATTGAAGATGTTCCTGATTGTATAAGATGCTGTAAAAGCCTCAGTGTCCTGGATGCAAGTGTCAATCCGATTGAAAGGTAATCATAATTAAATTTGGTACTTTTGTAGTAGTGTACCAGGTTAGAATTAGGCCATAATTTTATTGCGATTTGCCTTATTTTAGTTGTATTACGGGTTCGAGCACTGCTGTGTTAGCCAAGTGAATATATCCCCTGCCCATAGTAATCAGTCCATTTACACAACCTGATGTAAAATAGGCGAACAAAATTAGTTATCTCCATATTGGTACACACACTTCTGGAATGCCATATTTACTATTAATAAGATAATTGCCATAGTCACCTGTTGTTTGTCTCATTTTTCAATCAGTTTTCTATGTATCATTGTGGTTTTGAGTCATCAATGATAATTGTGTTTTGACTATTTCAGTCACACATGATAACAATTCCACCAATTTGAGGTTTAAGTGGTAACTGAATTAAATTTTCTATTCCAAAATAAGTTCCATTCTCTCAAAACTCTATATCAATGGTCGCGTGCGCTATGCGGTAGAAGTATCCTTGAAAACACAATTCTAATTTTGACATTGACCAAAGGTTGGAAATACACAATAGAATAATAGACTAAGTACGTTATTGAGAATTTTGGACGCCCATGAGGACGCCATCAACTTAACCATCAAATGGAATCCAGCCCAATTTAGCTATTCAGTTAAATTGTAGTTTGTAAGTCATTGATGGTTCATATTCAAATGAAAATTTAGGCATTAGGCAATGAATCCATTCAAAACGGTTTCGTTAAGTGTTGTTTTCAAAAACTTCAGTGACATTTTTCAAGTAGTATCTCGAGTGTTTAATTGATTATTTTATAATTTATTTCAATGGAGAGTTTTACTGTTTATTTTGTTGCTATCACTGGTATTATCTATGATGATATTGGATGTTCAAAATCTGTCAACATATACAAAACTGAATTCTATGACATAATTATGACCTTTCTTGTCAGTGACACTTTAAAAAAAGATTAATATTTATCTGGTTATGGGACCCAGTATATTTCAATTTCAATTACAAAAAAGCATTCATAAAAATTGCTCTTAATCTTGGATTGGAAAATTGTTCTTTATCTTAATATTTTTAAAGCATATAGAAGAAAAAAGCTTTGCAACCTTAGCTACCTCAGCCCAGTATGAAAAAGCCCGATGCCTTCTCAATTCTGACTTAATAGCTTTTTCATTCATTTTTAAATCAGTCCCTCTAACAATTAGTAATAACCATTTAATTTCAAATTAATAAATAAATTTAATATTACATTTAAATTGCCTTCAGTCACTGGTCGATACGTCATAATTAAGTAAAATTTAACCAATTTAATTTATTTCTGTTACCGCAGTTGGTTTAGTTTTGTTCTTGTTAACATTTTAATTGCATGATTGGATTTTACTTCTAAGGTTAAATTTTTCATCAGTTGTGCTTCAATTATTCTATTAATAATTGATCAAGCAAAGTGTCTGTACTGTGTCTCTTTGTGGTGTAAGGATTTTGTTCTAAGTTGTATTGAATTGAATGGAATCAAGTTTTTAACAATTTCTTTTGCTTAAATTGCAGTTCTGTAATTGTTGTTGAACATTTGTGATTTTTTCTTTCCTTTACATGGCATTTCTGATTATAGGTTAATAATTAAAATAAATGAGAAATGGAATTTTTTGTTTTCCGTATTAACTGTTTATGCAATCAAATTTTGTAATAGCCATATCTATATCAAGTCCATGCTTCTGAAACAAATAACTGACTAACTAATCCCATACTCAACATAGGCTGGTAACTGGACGAGAGGCTGCTGTGTGCCATATGATTAAGCCGTCGTAACGACTTTCCTTTCCCCCAGTATAAATATGTAAATCCTATATAACATATAAACTCCCTCTTATACTAACATATTTCAGCGTGTACCATTTTACGAGTATCTTGTCGCATTTTTTCCTGTTATCACGGGAAAACAAGGAAAAGCCATCTCATTTATATATTAGCCACGGTAGCAGAGCACAGTCAAGTTAACGCTTTATGGCATGTGGGATAACTTTTTGTTTTGTTTTTTATTTTTAGGTTATCTGAAGGTTTCACACAGTTGGTTGGACTCAGTGAGTTGTACTTGAATGATTGTTTTCTTGAGTTTCTTCCTGCAAGTTTTGGTCGATTAGTTCAACTTACGGTATTAGAACTGAGAGACAACCAATTGCAAATTCTGCCAAAATCAATAAGAAGATTGACTTTGCTAAAGAGATTAGATCTCGGAGGAAACATATTCCAAGAATGGGTATGTGGAATTTATACAGAGTTGAGCTCTGTATGTACTGTAAATTGTAACAAAAGGAAAATGCATTGTTCACAGAAATTATATGATACTAACTTGAGGATCAATCTGCTAAATTGTTGTTGTTTATCTCGTTGTTGTGGTGATTCTCACAAATTCATGTGATTGTAAATTTTCAGTAGTTGAACATGGAAGAAGTTGTTAAAAATTTATCGTTTTTATTTCATTAAACTTCAAACTATGCGGCCCAAACTATTTCACCCAAAATGTTGCTTTTTTAATTTAGAAGAAACTATTTTTATTCTATTGCAATATTGTCCGCTTATTTTTTCAGCGAACCTAGCGCGCTATGGCCTTATCATACTGAACACAATGCATGGTTTTCCTGTCCATATATTTAAGCACTTCTCTCTTGTTAGTTTAAGCATAGATTTGAGTAACCCTAGATTTTATTCTAAATCCTTGGTTATGCTTTATACATAGCATTGATCATTGGGACCTCCCTGAAGTATGCGCACCAAGAAGGCGTACAACCTGAACTCAGGTTGTGTACCAGGTTAGGGTTCAGGCTGTGCGACATCTTGGTACGCATACTTCAGGAGTACCGATCATTGTTTACATTGTAAAAACAAATGTCATTTATTTATATTTCAGCCTGACGTTGTTTGTGAACTTCGGAAACTCACAGAACTATGGCTCGATGGGAATGAACTTAGCCGAGTACCTGACGATCTTGGGGAATTGACCTCACTTGTTTACTTGGATTTGAGCAGAAATTTCATTGAAGCAATTCCATCACAAATTGGAGCACTTAGAGAACTGGCAGATTTGATTTTATGTGAGAATCACGTCACTGTACTGCCTGATACAATAGGTGGGTAGGCTTTCATTAAGACACTTTCTCGGAAATGAGATCTCAAGCCACAGTATGGTGGTTCCTGTATCCGCTGGTCTGTTACAGTTTTCTCCACAATCAAGTTCATGCATCGAAAAACAAATACCTGGCTAACCAATCCCATATCCGACATGGACTGGTAACTGTACACACGGCTGTGGTTCGCCATATGATTATTGAGCCATATCATGGGCTTTCTTTTTCCCCCCGGGGTGAATATGTAAATGCTATCCTATCCAACTCTCGAGTATTGCCACTGATGTTAAAAAAAATACATGCTATCAAAATTGGTGTTTAAAAATATTGAAAAATTAAATCGTTGTGGGCCAGGTATCACCGAGAAATAATACTTATTTTCCTGCTTGTTGATCTTTCTGTATGACTGCATTTTCTTGTTAATTTCGGGTACATTCCTTATTCAGTTTCTTTTCGGTTTTAAATGGCTGCTTGACAGGAATTCTGTGCGACTTTCCAATGAGAGTGCTGATCATTTCTTATGCATAATACACCCATACCATGGGGTCTCACATTTTAGTTTTTTTTTTCAGAATAGGTCATAAATCTTTTATCCTTCGACTGAACCCTTACTTAACGTTTTGTGGCCTACTTAATAAAACTACTCAGATGTTTTATTTACATTGATTGTTGTTTCGGAGAAAACTGTGCCAAGGTATGGTATCCGGTTCAAACAGTCCAAACATTGATTTTGTTTGAATTGAGTAATAAATCACAGTTTATTCGTATTTCATGTTAGCCCGACTTTCATACATTTCGAAAATCTTGGGCAAATAAAATCTGGAATAGCAAACATTCTTGAATAACTCTTGCTTTGTTTACCCTCTAAGTGAAGTATGGGATGGTTGTTTGGTCACCTATTTTATGATGTGGGCATTTAATTCACTTCAGGAAATCAGGTTACATTCTGTCCGGCCCATTGAGTGATTGCCGGTAAAAGGAATTTTTTGAGATTGCGATTGAATTTAGTACTGCACGAGGCTTATTGTTTCCCACTTTTGCTTTCGTAACACTGTATATATATTCAAAAAATGAAACTTCATGTCACATTTACCGCCAGTCTAGGTATTTGATATTCTAAGTTAAAACACTAAACTGTTGAGAACTTCTAACAGTTTTAAGCATTTTAGTTTGCTGTGCAGAGACATGATGTCTACATTAGGGGTGGCATCAATACATTGTCTACTGATCTTGTGTAATGGCATTTTGTTCAAACCCCCAGGGATTCAAATCAAATGAGTTGCGTACTTCATTGTCATTTGGCATGGAATTGAAAATCTATTATTAAGTCACAGATGGTTCTTCGTAATGACTTATTATTACAGTGAATTGCCATTAACCATCCCAATTAGGACCTGTATTATTTCCTGAATTACACATTGATGTATAACACAAAGCAAAAGGAAAGGCAGATTTTCGTATTTATCGTAGAATAGGAAAAAGTCTTATTTATATACTATAATATATATTTTTGGTTCGACCCCTTACATTTTGAAACATTGTTGTTTTGGATACTTTGTGTTCTTTTATTTTTACTTTTTATTCATTTAATATATGGTTTATTACATTTTTAGGATTTCTGGACAAACTGACTTTGTTGAAAGCTTCGATGAATCAATTAACTGGAGTTCCTGAAAGCATCGGAAAATTAAAAGAAATAGAAGAACTTGATTTATCTCATAATAAAATGACAGAAGTTCCATCAAGTATTGGAAATTTAACGTAGGTTGCAATTATTTTTTGTTAATTTAAATGTTTGACTTCGTATCTTATCGCAAAGAGGCATTATTTACAATTGTGTATTTCTGCAAGACAATCGTCGGTACTCCTGTATCGCATGTGTACCAAGTTAGGGTTAGGCCGTAGTTTTGTCCGATTTTCCTTATTTTAGTTATATTATGGGTTCAGGGACTGGTTGTGTTAGCCAAGTGAATATATCCCCTGTCCTTAGTAATCAGTCCCTTTACACAACTTATGTAAAGGAGGCGAACAAAATTAGTTACCTCCATATACACATACTTCTGGAACGCCCGGTCGTCTCGTGCATGTTTTCATATTTGAGACATTGGTGGCGCCCCAGAGTGGTAACTGGTGATCAGTAACGGCTTCCTCCACTATCAGTGCATTCAAATGAAACAAATAAGTGATCAACTAATCCCATGCTCGACATGGACTGTTAACTATCCTTATCGTCATTCCTCCAGAAATAAATATCAAAATCCTATCCTCATACAGAATGTATGAAATTGGCCAATTTCAAATAAGGATTCAAGTAAAGGAGGGATATTATGAATAATAAGTTATAGATGCTGCTAAGTCTCTACTACATCTGCCTAACTTTTTAATTTTTTATTTCCCTAGGAAAATGCACACTCTGCTTCTTGATAACAATGTATTATCATCAGTACCTTCAGAACTAGGCAAATGCGGCAGATTGAACGTTCTTCAATTAAGTAGAAATATGTTGGAAGAAATTCCAAGAGAAATCGGAGAACTTTCACAACTTCGAGTCTTCAATATTTGTAGAAACAGGCAAGTGAATTCACATTTCTACTGACAATTCAATATCATTTCGTTGTATACGAAGTTCAGGTTTATTCAACTTATTTTGTCACAAAACTAAATTTTGAATGTCTTCTTCCTGTGGATTTTTAAAATTGGTCTTTTCAGTATGTCAGATTTACATTATCACCACAAAAGAATAAAAGATAGGTTTTAGTAACTAAACTATTGAAAGGCTTAGATTTGTTTCATATACACGGTGACATTTCCTATTTGATTAATTGCTTAGTAACTTAGTTTATTACTAAAATAAAATTCCATTTTTTATATTTCTCAGATTGCCTCATCTTCCAATCACAGTTATCAAGCTTGCACAATTAGAAGCATTGTGGGTCAGTTCCAATCAATCCAAACCTAATGTACCACTGCATGCTGAACTTGCTAAAGATGGAAAGACAAGGATTTTGACAAATATATTGTTCCCTCAAGTTGAACGAGGTAAAAGAAATTGCAACTTAAATTACAGCAATTCCTTTGAAGTCATTTAAAACTGCAAAGAAGAAATGTCTCATCTCAATTAGTGATAGAAGATTAGAAAAACATTGTATTCGTCCACTTCATTCTGAATACAAATAATACAAGATATGATTGGAATTGAGTAACATTAGTATTTTGACAAACTGGTCTTGACAATTTCATACAAGCTATTCATAACATGCTTCAATTTCTAACCTCGGTAATAATAAATAATAGCATACTAGCTTTGCCATACTATACTATACTCTGGAATAAATCTATATTCCGCAGAATTAATGATGAAAATAATTTTCATAGATCTATCAACGACAAGAGAAAGAACAGACGAAGATGGTTATGCCATTGATGCAGCAGATGACGATGAGCCGCCATTGTTTCGTAAACAACGTGGAATAACCAGAGTTGCTTTCAACTTACAACTGATAGAGCATAGTGACATTACAAACGATGATATTTCAGATGATGATGACATGGGAATTGAAGCTCCATTGCTTCCACCAAAAGATAAAAACGCAAATAATAAATTGTAAGATATTACAATAATATTTTCAATTTTTAGTGAGTAAAGACCAATCTTGGTCAGGCACTGGAATGACTCATCAGCCAATCATTCCAGATGTACAGACCTTAATATTTCGGGAAACTGCATTTGAACAATAATGTTGGCAAGGTGGTCATTAGTCGTCTTGTGCAGACTGCCGAGTAATCGTTTAAAGGATTTGATACCACGATACCATGATCATATTATTAATCTTCAATGGGTTGTTACAGCTTAGCCCAATGCAATATTCCTACTTTCAGTTTGATTGTTACCGTATATTATATTTAACACATTCTCTCTGTTACTAAATTTCAGTATTATTTCCACTAAGCAATAAATTATCTATAATTTGAAAATATGATAATTTCATTTAGGCAAGTAGACAAATAAGTATTTTGCTAAAATTAGACATCTTTATTTCTACGAACCTATTCATAACCGTGTTTTCCAATAATATTTTTCTTATTTTAGTGGACTCAGTGATGACAGCCACACTCTTGTACACTCAGTCAACGTTTCAGCAGATATCATATCAAATGGAAACAGTCTCAATATCCAATCTTCTTCATTAATGGTCAGATCACCAGATAAACAACAAGAAGATCATTTAGGTAGGCAGTTTAAGAAATAATTCATATTCAATTATTCTGCAATAGTTCAACATGTTTTCAAAGAAAAGGATTTAAAAGTTTGTACCAGATTATTTGCTTTTATTTTCGTTTCCACAAAATGAACTGAAAATGGCATACTTTTTAGTTGTTGTTGCTCAATGAAAAGAGTAATACTCCGCTATAGAGAACATTTCATATTGTCAGATAAAATTTTTTTTATATATACCTGTTCATTCCAGAAAATGGTGATCGTTCTGCTGTTGAAGTTACCGATGTATCAATGGAGCAGATTCCTATGATGAATGGAGGTTACGACATACAGAACCTGAGTGTTCAACTGATGATGGATACAGAGGAATGGTCACAACCCCCACCAAGTTATAATGATATTACAACAGTAGACAATGCCGAACCAATCAAGTCCGAACTTGTGGATGTAAATATGGATATTTCAATACCTGATTTAGTAAATACAGAAGGGAATTTGCGAGTGCAGAAACCCGAAGGCCCAATATCATTTTCAACTCCTGATTTGAGCAAATCACAGAAACAAAACAGCGTCTTGAATGATGATGCTTCAAAGTCTACTACTTTGGTTAACTTGTCTGGTGATTCCACAGCACAGCCTTCGAAAATCAAAACTTGGTCGTCTCATTCCCATCTTCCTGCCATTCCGAGCACAGAACCAAGTGATATAGTTGAACCAGTTGCCGTGGAGATAATGAATAAAGATGATCGTTCTTCCATGTCTAGTTCTCCTATTTCAGCGTCTGAGTCGCCAAAGCCTGAACAAGTCAAAACCACGAAGCTTCCAATTCCAAGTCGAGCACTTTTTGATAAAATGTCCGCCAAAGAAAAAGAGGAAAATGTACCGTTTGAAACGAAATCTAAAACAGAAAATGATAATAATATGTTACGACAGCCTTATAATACCACACTAGAAAGCAGAAGTCCAATTCCATTATCCGACATTCCATTTATGGATAGTGATGTCTCAGATGTAAGTGCTGCATCTGATATGGCACCTGTGATATCCAAACCTAAAAAAGGTTCCAAACCACCTCCACCTCCGAGGACAGATTCTTTATTATTAAAAAGAACAGAAAAATTAAAAGCTTCCCCTGTTAAACCACCTGTACCCAGCAATAAGCCTTCAATTCCGAGTTCTACCGGACTTAAAGTGTTCACTCCTGCATTTTTGTCTCGTAAAAACAGTCAAAATAATGAATCTGATCGGGTGAACACTGATCCTGATCTGTTAGCGTTACCGGCTGATAACAAACCTTCATCTGAATTATCACCAGATGGTCTGGCATCAACAGATCGCGATTCTGGGGTCGGAAACGACGTCGACAGTCAGGAATCTATTCCAGAATGCCCTGATGAAGACCTTCCTCTTCCTCCACATGAATTGTTACATGACGAACAACCTGTTTCATCCAGAGACCTGATCGCACCTGCTGCATCGAAACCCTTGGTAAAATCAGTTGCAACTTTCCAGGTTTCTGATACTCGAATTCATTCGAATGACGATCACAAATCTTCTTTTATGCCAGTTACAGATCAAACAGAGCAAGATGGTCCTCCGCCCCATCCCAATAAAGTTTCGGCGAATATCAAAATGTTTGAAAGTATAGCGTCACCTGAGCATAAAACACAGTCTACCGCGTCTTCCAGATCACTTGCTGACCTTCTTCCTACTGGGCCAAGAAAAACAGAAGAAAAAGCAATCATCAGACCTAATAATCATCTAAATGGATTTGTTGATGCGAAAAATATGCCTGATACACCAGATGCAAAGCCTGGTTCTCTACCAGGCGACCTTGCAATGAAGCCATCGGTGTCGGCTGGTAATCTTATCATGGAGTCGCAAGCGAACCAAGTTGCATTTGTTAGAAGTGATGATGAGGTTTCGGATTCTTTCGCTATCAGTAAGGCATTAGATGAAGTAGTGTCACCCATGGATAAGAAGAAAATATCTCGAAGCAATTCAAAAACGGAAGGAACTTCAGAAACAGTGAAGCATGATCCATTCAGGGAAAGATTAGAAAAGATAATGCAACAACAACGCAACGTATCTGCTGCAACGAAAGCAGCGCAAAGTGGTGCCGCCCTCAGTTTGTCACGTAAAGCTTCCTTCAATACATATCAATCTCAACCTACGAGTCCGGATGGATCTGGCCTCGAAAAATTAACTGCAGAAAATGCTTTCAGTGGTCCTGAACTATCAGCATCTCCTGGTAGTCCAGATCAAAAACCAGCTGCGAAAAAACATTCAGTACATGATCGAATGAAAAGTAAATTGGATCGTGCACAAGCAAATAACAATGCTGTTAAGTCGGCGTCCTCATCACGAATCGCGAGATCCCGTCCTGGTTCTGCTCCAGCGGCTCAACTGCTTCAAAGACGAAATTCAAATCAAAGAAATTCTATTGCTGCACCTGAAAATAACTCTGATGATAAGCGTATGCTGGCGCCGTTATTTGGTTCTGATGAACGAGCGGGATTGGACGCTAGAGCGAGATCGAAGTCAATCGAGCAACAACTCGGACAACTTTTCCTCGACAGTGATGAAGAACAACTTAATCACAACGACAGAGCAAATTATGAACTTCGTAAAAATCATAACGATGTCATAAGAAGGGAACACAAACTCAAAAAAGATCCTTCAGGTGTGAGAGGGTCGAGAAATTCACTCTGTTCTCCACCACCAGTGAGACACAACATGTACGCTAAAGCAAGGTCGTCCACTAATGCAGCTTCTGCACCTTTAGCTGATTGGAAACACAAATTATTGCAACATATCGAAAGAAAAAGGGTTGAAAAACAACATATGTCTGCATTCCAAGGAAGGCCAAAGACACAACAGCCTACACAATCCATAGGAAGAATCAAGTCTCCTCCAAGGACATCTGGCCCATCGAATCGAACCCAATATGATCGATCAAACTATGTAACATTAACGCAGCCTCAAGCTAGAAATGATCATGCGCAATCAAGCAGACAATTATCGAAATCTGTAACAGCTCCTTCATTGATGGCTCCAACAAAAACAATCACAAACACCCATCAATATAACCCAGAAGGTCCAGCAGTGAGAAGCCATTTTGCTGGGAATTCTCGAGCCGCAAAACTTGCAAAACAACGAACATTTACACCAGGGCCAGAGTCTAGTCATGGTAACCCTCAAATGATGGCACCCAGACCCAAAAGTGCTATGGACAAATTTGCTACTCAATCTCCTCCTGAGCCGTTGTATGCTGAACCACCCTCGTACCGACAGCCTCCCCCTCAGCCATCTCTTTACGCCGATCTACGGACAATAAATCCCCCATTACCAACTTACGAGGACCATCTACATAGAAGGGCGCCAACTTATCCACAAGAAAGCAACATGCACCGTCTTGTTCGATCCGAATCGCAGCGAAAATCATTCCGAAGCAATAGTCATGGACGTAGTGATTATGATGATATTGCAGCCTATCCACTGAGACATTCAGGATCTCATGAATCACTTATGGATGCAGCAAGGTGAGAGATTTAATTTGTTGATAAAAGTTTTTCACATTTTTGGTAAGAGTATAATATTGGAAAAGGAGGCATGATGAAATTTTATTCCAATTCAATGCATATGCAGTAACCAATAACATTGGTGACTTCAACAAACTGACAATTTCATAATCTGTTGGTATTTCATCAATATTGTATCTGTATTCGCATTTTTTATAACAGGGTGTAGTCATCAAGTCCAAATAAATGATATTTTGAAAAACCTTTTTTGAAATATTTGGACACAATCAATGCTTTTTAAATAAAGTGTCCCTTTTTACAGTAAAATTCTAATATGTTCCTTGAAATATAGCGCTTATTAATATTTTGCTCATTTGGAGTGTCCGAACTAATTTAAGCAATATCTGAGGGGTTAAACTACTCAAATTCAGCCATTCCTAATCTTATCTTATCGTTGAGAACTAGTTGTCACAATTTCTACCTTTGGAATTGATCATTGTTTAAGGTTTGGCTTGCTTATTCCACATTTTTTAAGTTTGTATCCGGATTGTCCTACATTTTCACTGCTTGTCCTGTTTGTTCTTACTTGTCATGATAATATCCCACTTGTGCTGCTTGCATCACACTGGTATTGCTTGATTCATTTTCACTGTTCAACTGTTATATTTCAGGTATAATCAACATGATCCATACTTTCCAACAACTCCAATCCGTAATGCTTCATCACATGATTCAATTCTGGACCAACAAGCATACCCTCAACCTGGGTACCCTGCCCCATATTACAGCCCCAAACAAACAAGAATGCAAAACAATGGCTACCCACCTAATCACATACCACAAAGATATCCGGTCGTAGAAAACCCCAAACGAAGCAAGTACCCCGTTAACCCAGACTATGCGACTTATGTTAATGTCTATGACTATGACCGCTCACCCGTGGAATATCATAACAGACCCCAGGTTCAGAGCACCTCTGACCCCTATCGGTCACAGTTACCGTACCACGGGGGTGTGCGGAATGACCCTCGTCAACCACGCAACTCATACAAGCATGAACAATCAAATTACAAAAACTATGCCTACCCTCCTACAAGTTACCACAATGCAAGACAACCTCCAACGTATGACCAACGCTATCGACCAAGGGAGAGTATATCACCTACGTTGTATCGCCCACTCGCTGAAAGAGAGGAGGAAAGGTAAGAGTTAAAATTGTTTTTGTAGACTAATAGAAATAGACCTAAAACCATATGATCTCAGTAGCACTTCTCGCCTAATAGCCTATTTGTATGAAGTCTTTTTCTAAGAGAAGTTTTAGAGTCTCCAATTTATAATATTTCACTAGAACTGTTCAATCCATGTTTCAAAACAGGGATGTCCAAAACGAATCAAACTGATTTAAAATTAATTGTGTTCATTATCTTGAATTCTAGATTGTTGGAATAATTCAGAATATTTACACTTGAAAATTTATTATTATTATCACATTGGGCAATTTGAAATCTAATGGTAGGACCAAAAAAGCTTTCATTTTATTCCATAAACTATAAAAACAATAGAAAAACAATCAAATCACTTTTCATTTCGACCTTGCCTCATTACCTGTTGAAACTCAGGGAAAAAAGTTTTGGCCATCTATATTGTATGAATACAAAAACCTCAATTATCTAATTAATTTGGCTCATCGTGTTAAGTGTTGGGAAGACGCTCGCCACCGCGGCTCTGATGATTTTGCGTGGGTCCGAATCCTGTGGAGGATAATTATGTACGAAATTATGTGCCGTCGAAGGGTGGTTCACATAACCGCTGGTCGGTTATGGCTTTCTCCACCATTAAGTCTATGCATCTAAAAAAACAAGTAACTGGCCAACTGAGCCCATACCCCAGAGACTGATAACAGGACGAAAAGGCCATGGTTTGCCATATGATTAAGACGTCTCAAGCTCAACGGCTTTCCTCTCTCTCTCTCTCTCTCAGGATAAATATATGAATCCCATTCTTTTTCAGTGTCGCATCTGCATTTCGACCATATCACCAAGTACAACAACAAGTCCAACCAAGGCAGCACAAACCTCATTCACACCATCATCACCACATGCCCTACGCACACAGCCATCCTTATAATCCTCTAACAAACATGGACTATAAGAACCAAGGACATCACTTGTCACCAACTTCCAATTATCAGTATATGTCAGAACAACCAAGGTATTTTTAATGTTTTTGAATTTCTTAGTTTTAAATTTTGTTTGTTCTAGGTTGGAAGCAATGCAATATAATAAAACTAGATTTCAAAGTATATCGAAAAATGTCAGTTGGAGGTTTCATAACCAAAATCAACAGTGTACAACAGCCCGAAAGTTTATTACTATCGTGTATTTTGTTTTTTAAGTTTGGCCCAAGCTTCATTTAATTGGGCTTGTGTTTTTGTGTGCGTGCTGGTGGGCAGGCACATGAGATACTTCATGTGTCAAACTTTTTTGCAGGTTTTGCTTGCCCTCCAGAATTCTCCATTTTAAATTTAGGTTTGTTATGGAGTTTTCGAAATAAACTATCTATCTATCTATCTAAATCAATGTTTTTAAAATTGAACGTTTTTTGCAATTTTTCACTCAAAAAATCAATTTGGTATTCAAAATTAGAACTAATTGCAAAACTGAATATTTGGAAAACAAGAGTAGATATCACTATCTCAAACTTCTGTTGCGAGGAAAAATTGTCAAAAATGAAGAGTATAACTTGCATGAATTTAGTTATAATTTGCACAGCGAAAAGTTTTGTATGCAAATTTATTCTGTGTGAAATGTGCATTCGGTCTATTCCATTATTCTACTGTAAATTATAGTTCATTCAAAACATAATGTATTTCAGTCAATTTATAAAACTATTTATTTCATCTCTCAGGCACATGCCACGAGCTCCCACTGGTTGGGCAGACCAGCAAGAAGATTTTGAGCGAGTCACTGTTAATGTGAGACGCAACCCTACCTTTGGATTCCATGTCATGGGTGGGGTAGGAGCTGGGGGCAACCCATACCAACCCATGGATGAAGGGGTGTTCGTCACCCATGTTACGCCAGGAGGTGCAGCAGACAACAAGTTGCAAGCTGGAGATAAGATACTTTTGGTGAGTAGGTCTTTACTTTTTATTCTCTGTATTATAGTCAGATTATTCGCTTTGCCTTGAATGGTGGTAAGGATATTGAACGTACCAGTGAATCATTATTGACTAATTGGCATCTTATCGGACAAAATAGTGGTTACTCTCAATTTCATAACTATTCCCATAATCGACATGGATTGGAAGCTCGACAAAATGCTATTTCTAAATCAGCGTCTTGGACTGGACTATGCTGGTATCGAAGGTTAAAAATCTTGGGTTTAAATCCCATGCAATGCAAATCCATATTGCAATTTGAAAAAGAGGAAAGATGCCTAGCAATCCAAAAACAGTATCTCTTGGCATGTGAGGCCTGCTTGTTTAGAATTTTTTCAGAGTGAAGGCACATAGTAGAAGTTACAAATTCTAAATTCTTCGAATTGATTTGACAATCTGCTGAAAATGCTTGAAAGCGAAATAACACCGCTACATTTATTATATTAACCATTACTCGATAAATTATCTTTCAAAGCATTAGATGATCGCTTCCATTACATTATTAATTTTTCAACAGGTCAACGGATCAGATTTTGTTGGTATCAGTCACAAACGAGCTGTCGATTTGCTTAGAAACGCTGGACAAGTTGCTGTTCTTGTTGTTGAAAGATCTCTTGGAAAACCAGTTTGAACCAGTATGAACGTGTTTTAGCAGTTCTCTGGGCGATGATATAAAAGAAAGCAACAGTATAAAGTTATTGAATTGTTTGTTTCCTGAAAGCTGGGCCACAGAGGATAGAGTAACAAAAGACAGTTTTAACTGGAGAATTCTTTATTTTTTTTTTATTTTCAACAATTTCAAGGACCAAAATTAGTGCAAACTGATTTTATTATAACTTTTATCATATTGATCAGTATTGACAACACGTATTTCTGTATTCTCCATTTTGTTGAATACATAACACACAAATGCCTGGGCTAAACTTAGTTGGTGGAAAAGAAATTGTGAAAAAGTTATTAATTTTTTCGAAATGGGAACACTGAGTTTACACCGAGTGGTTTAAAAATGAAATCAGTCTACTCTACACAAATAGGTAGTGATTTTCATTCTTATCACTGGACAGATAAAGCCGATAATGGGATGAATTTAATGATAAGGGAAATTTACCGTATTAAATTTTTTGTTCTCAATTGTATAGTATCTTATTTGGTATTATAATTTTATTTCTATTTTTCAAAATTGTGATTTTTTAATTACATTTGAAATCATGTTCTTCCACGTGTTTTATTCATTTTGTAACATTTTCATAGTACATTGGGTATGGCACTGAATATAAATACAAATGGTAGTGCTTTCACTATATGAAATATAACAATATGGAAAGATATGGACACAAAATGGCCTTCCAATCGAATAGGTGATAGAGAAGTTCACCATGTTTGGACCATACATAAATTTCGTCTAATTGGCGGGATTCATGAATGGCCCAAGCATGGCTGTGTAATGGTAAAAAAGGCATCGAATTGAGGGGGAAATTTTTGATCACTAGTCATCGAAATCGTGTCTAAGTGACGTCGAGCTGTTATTTTTCTCGAAATATCTGAACTGAATTCAGAGTGTGCATTGCCCACTGGCATTCTTATACTGATTGATAAAATTATATCTGTTATTCTTTAGTCTTCATATCACTTGTGATCGACTCTTACAAATTCCAATTTTTATGTTGTAGCTGCTAAACAATCGAAATCATGAACAATTTTGTCCACTTTTACTTATTTTATTTTTCAGTTCATTTCGCCAATTTGTATTATTTAATCAATTTTTTAAGAAAAGGATTTCGTTTCACTGATGTATTTTCTTTACTAAATATATCTATTCACTATGAAGATTCTTTTTATATTTTTTAAGTTCGTTCGTAGAGTATTTTGATTCAACGATGGGTCATGGTCAGTGGTCACAAACAGCGAACGATTGATTACTCAGCGCTGATTTTGCAAGTTCGGATTCCCAAGAAAAGACTTAAGTGCAAGAAGATTTCTGTGCTAAGACTGATCGGATTTCTCTTCCACCCAGGCCATATGGCTGGCGGGTTAACTGGTGTTGAGACAATAGACCAACTTGTCGCCCCTCCAACATGTTGTCTCATTCCATTGACTAGTTTTTGGAATAGCCTGATTGGTCAATTTGCTAAATTCTCTGTCCGCCAGTTGCGAATTTTACGTATTTAAAAATGGAAGAAATCGCCAAATTATTAGCTTTGTTTTTTAAATTTTCTCCCGAGCTCTCGGGACTGAAATTTTACCGCAGCGTGTTTTCAGGTCCCTTCACCAATGCGTGACCTGTATGTCCATGTACTTCAGGATTGCTCTCTTGTTTTCATATTAGACCGAGTCGAGATAGAATGGCTCTAGACCAGTGGTTCCCAAACCGCTGGCCAAACGATTTAATATGGCCCGCCGAACTTGAGTGAAATAGTTTAACACTTTATGTTTTTACCTTTTGCGTTCTAGATACCGCCAATTGTTACGTCATTATCACAGTGTAAGCACATGTATATTCGTAACAATCCAATTATATCGGTGTCTTAAATACACATACCTCTACCGACCCGCGAATATCGTTCCGCTTTTAATTTTGGCCCCCAGTCAATCAACTTTGGGAACCACTGCTCTGAACCGCTAAGCAGCCTCCCAGATCAGTGTCATACAATATGTATAAATATGGAGACTCATTTGCTGCTAAATTTGCTTGTTATAATTGTATGCAACTAAGCTTGGAAGCAACCTCGTTCGAATCTCGGAAAATAAAATCGTACGTAAGTATAATACACGTCGTTATTGAATTTAAAGCTTGACAAAAACCCTTGGTCAAGTTGACATCTTCGGTTGGTGGAAATTATTATTTTGTAAGAATGACACTATGTTACACAACATTGTTTGTATTGAACATTTACTTTAGTTTATAAATAAATTTCGCTCTGTCATGGGAACGTAACGCCTGCTGAACTCTTGCTGCTGATAACGAATACGCTGAAAAGCGATAACGTTCATGAATGGCAGACGGTTGAAGGTACAGCGAATAGGGGTAAGTATAGGTCGTTTCAATATCTCCATCCAAAGAAGGATGTCGTATAAATAGCGGACTGTTACAATGTGTCATCTATGGATCCGTATTCGAACCATATATCTCGAAAATTGTGACGTAACAGTGGTTTCATGTTTAATAAAACAGTGTAGAAATCATGGTCGATTAAGACAGTGCCACTGATAAAGTGATGTAGGTAACCGATTCCAGTCGAGTCATTCCAAAGTAGGTTTCCATTAGATGATAACTTTTGGTTGTAATAAACATACCTAGTATTTCTAACAACTCGGCCGAATATACCTTACGCAACATTTTCTCTCTGTTCTATATATTATATTAAAATTGGCTGGTAATAAATAAGGATGCCCGTTGTTTTTGAAAATTATTCTTCAATCTGAGTAAGGAAGTGGACAAATATGCAGCACAAAGCGGCACTTCTCGTGCTGTTACAGGCTGCGCTGGCGACTAGTTCGCTTGTTACAGTATGTGATAACTCGTTGGAGGTATGTTTCTACTATACGATTTCTCTGTACGTTTTTACTCAAAGACATGTATCAGAATTGATATTGGTACCAGTATTGAAAACCAAATTAATATGAACGTCGGTTCTCAGAATTATTCATAAACACACCGATTGTCTTTCGGAGATTTCAATTCAAACCTATGATGGTTTATGAAAACATATTGCTGGGCGGGTCTTATCAGCACTTTTTCTCATTATATAATGTATGACAATCAAATATATGAGTGTTTAAGTATTACAAAATAAAGAATATATATACGTTGTAATATTTTCGTCTGAGTACCATTTTAGCTCACATAATTTTATACAATCTATCATTTCACCAAATCCATATTCTAACGACAGACCTACTGTTTTAAACTAACTGAGGGAAATATCGCATTTGCAATTATTTTTTTAAACATCTTTAAAATTTCTTTTTACTTTCAGTATTCGATATACGACAACAGAGTGACAGCACTCAATCTTTTGAGAGTTGATTTATCCCAATTTAAAGGCAGTGTATCAGTGGTTATGAACACTGCTGCCTTTTGAGGTTTAGCAACAACCAACATGCCCGGCATGAATGCACTTCTCGAGGTGAGTAAACACAGAGAAAAACGTAATAATCAAGTTTGTTTTTTCCAAACAGTAAAATATTAAACAGAAACACTGTAAAAAAAACATGCGAAAAGTAACAGAACATAGCCAAAGAATTCTTCAAAGCGAAAACACGAAGCTGAATTTTCTCCGAATCCGCAGATATTGCGATAAGAAGAGTCTGCTTACCCAGCACATTAGATATAAGCTTTACATTTTGATTAGTGCATTTCATGCCCCTGTCAGTCAAAATGAAGTTAATTGCATTGCACAATCCATTTTATTCACAGCACTTTCAAGCAAAATAGATCAGCTAGTTTCTTCTGCTATTACTTCTTGATAAATATAAATTCATGAAATATTTTTAGAGATACGAGAAAGCCGGTGTAGTTGGTCTTGGATTTCCATGTAATCAATTCGACCTTCAAGAACCAGGTCGCAATACGGAAATCATGAATGAATACATGTATGTACGTCCTGGTAATGGGTGGACTCCTCATGATAATTTCCATATTTTCTTCACTATTGACGTGAATGGAGAGTCGACACATAAAGTGTATGAGCAGATGAAGGTTTGTATTGTGTTAATTTTTTACCACAGGTAGCTGAAGCTTCGTTGATCTGACCGACCTTGCACACGGACGCTCGGAAATAATGATTACCCAACTATTGTATTTTGTTGCCGTTTTTGAATCAAATGTATCATAGTTGTCTAGATTGTTTGTGGTAATAAAACCTCTTTCTCAATTTGTGACAAGTACAGGGTTCGTGTGCAAAGAAAGAGACAAACTTGATCCAATAAATGGCCGTGTGCTGTATAATGTCAGATCTACTAATGCTTACAGGTCTACTGCGTGACTTAACCCATTTGAACTATCCTAATATGAACTCGACTCAAACAGGTTTAATCTACTAGTAAACTTCCATTTTTCAACATTTTAGGGTGCTTGTTCAGCGTACGATGAGTCGCTTGGGACGAGAACCAGGTATAAATGGGAAGAATTAAATGCTCGTGACATCCAGTGGAACTACGAAAAATTCTTGGTGGATACAACTGGAAAGGCTAGGTATAGTATAAGTTAACTTATTTCTATATTGATGACCAATTGTTTATGATACGATAATGAGAAACAGATGCTTGTAACGGATCTTTGTGGAGTGCCTCAGCTAGATGTTTATTCTAGCTACCGGTCTCCTTGGTCTGGCATGCAATCGGTGGCATGGCAGAGTTGAGAAATATTTCACCTCTCAACTGCGGCAACGAGCTGGACGTCCAAAAACGTACAATTAATAGAGTTGGTTAAGATCGGGGTTTTCATGATGGTATTTCCTGTGAAGTTAGAAAGCTTACTTGATATAAATATAAAATAGATATGTTCGTATAGGTCTTTGAGCGCAGAAAAGTAACCAGTTGATAACCTTCCATTTGCATATACTAACATTGGTTTTCAACTTCGATATTTGTTTTTACAGGTATCGGTTTGACAAACTGACAACTTTGGAAGAACTGTATCCGTACATAGACCTGCTACTCGCTGAGACTCCCATTCAGCCAACAAACGATCCGGACTTCGGTGGAGTTTAAACCAACGAACAATATATCAACTTTAATTCATCTTTAATCGAATGACAGTCTTTCATTTTTGACAAAAATGCGCTGTTATCTTTCAAATTTGACACTTTTGAAACCCACTCTTTGATGACAAGCTTTCAAACGTTATTCGTCAGGCTTGTTTGAATGTTGTGGATTCAATCACGTGACTTAGTGCATTCGTCTGTGACTGATAAACAACGTGGTCTTTCTTGTCTTTTTATTTTGAATGATATTGGTGTATTTTTAGTTAATATGATGGCGAATTAATGATCAAACTAAATAAAACAGTCTTGGAAATAATTGAGAATGTTTATTGAGAAATGGGTAGAAATTTGTATAAAGATTTTCTCATGCTGCAGTCTCAAGTAGGCTGGCTACACCCAGGAAAACAGGGTATGACGGAAGTACCAACAGTTGCTCAATGTTTCCGAAGATATGCCGACATTGATGGCATCAAATACCTAGTGGATGCAACACGGCATATTAGGCCAAACAGTATAAAAGCAGAAATTTGCTTTAGCAGACCAAGTTGATGGTATTTTGTTTGGTTGAGACAAAGACTGGGAGTAGAGTTATACTTTCTTAACGTGTATCGTAACATTTGTCGTGAATTATTGAGCTTTTGGAGTCTAATATTACGCGAGTCATATTGGCAATACCCAGGGTAGGATCATGCCGTTCAAAGGCCCTAAACACTTCCTATTTTGGTTTCTAATATATAAAAAATAATAAAGAAAGACTGATGTTTCCTATGTTATCTGAATTTATATAGGAAGATATAGTAAAAGAATAACTAGTGTATTGATATACAACTGCATTATACACTCCCCTTAAAGCCTCAAATCTATATCTAAATAACAGTTAGTCTTACCCATTTACTTCTATAACACAGTGCATATCGAGTTGCTGAGCCAGAGTGGGTATGGGCACCGGTACTCCTGCACCTAAAAATTATGACTTTTTGACTCGACATGCGTTGACGCACCGCAGTGTGAACAAGTTCAACATATATTTACGGTTCAACACATTGATTGCGACTGCGTCTACGTAAAAATATAGCGCAACGCATTGTGTTGTTGTGAATGGGCCCTAATTATGGGGCAAATAAGGATCATTTACAAGATTTTTGTGGGGAATGTGTACTGGCAGCCAAGCGCGCCTGATTATTCATTTTCTCCTTTCCCACATCTGAATTTTCTCCTTGAGCCGCGGCTTTTTTGACTTTTCAATTTTCTTTCTCATTCACTCATTTTAGTTTTTTTATTTCGAGCGCTGCTCATTCATCATCATTTTTTCATTCATCTTCATTATGCTGCTCCAAACAGACTCGCTGATTTCTCCTGTTTTGTATTTTCACTGATTTCTACTATCGATCCGATTTTACTTGGCCCTCCCTGGTCTCCTTGGACTTAGGACTGACTGACTATATTTTTCACGACAGGTGACATTTTCCTTGACGGTGCATAGTGACTAGAGCTCGATATTGCGTGTTTATAAATATCATCAAAAACTACAGACTCGCGAGCTACATCATATCATAAAATCCCATTTTGTGGCTAACAATATGATTTATATTATTACCGGTATGGCCGATATCGGTGCCAAAAAGGGATATCAGTCGAGCCCTTCTAGTGCATGCATTGCGCGCGGCTGCTCGGATTTATTTCGTCTTTATTATTCGGTCCTGATCGAAAGGATTGAGCGCCTGCCGCTGGTACTATTTCCTATATCCTATCTTTCTCTATTTAACTTGAATGAATTCGCCTGCACACCTGCCACCCCGATTGGGAGTTTCTTTCGGCCCCTTAATATTTTTTTCCAATGTTTCACTCTCACAAACTTATGCCTCTCTCACTCACTTTTTTCTTTGTAGCGCATCGTTATAGCGGTCTACTGCTTCTGAATTATCACTTGCTCACACTGTTGGCTGGTCTCACACTTGCTCGCCGGCTCCCTCCCTTCGCCTCATCCTTACAGTTCAGCTGTCTGCTGCTATCGCTACCACTTACGTACTACTACCACTTTATCGGCTGCTGCTACTGATTACCGCTTGCCTCTCGGACTATCGTTCCTCCCCCGCCCTCTTATAGCTCAGCGGTCTACTGCTGCTGGCTGCTTAACACTCACTTGCTCACACTGTTGGCTGGTCTCACTTGCTCGCTGGCTTCCTTTCCTCCCCCGCGCCCCATCCTCACAGCTTCACTACCCCATCGGCCGCTGCACTCTCACATGCTCTTCGGCAACCACCCCCTCCTCCGACCGCTCGTCAAACCTGCTTGCTTATCTATACAACATCTGGCTTGCCTGCTGACCTATCTCTGCAACCCTGTCTGCTGCACCCACTTGTTCTTCCGACTCCCTTTCCTCCCTCGTCTCTTGCTCTCTGCTCCCATTCCCTCAATCTGGTATGATGTTTGGCCACGTCTCTACGCTCGCTACCCCTGCGCCACCGCTACTGACGATGGTCGCGTGGATCAGAATCCTACTTAATTAACGACGTCACGCTTGGCAGTCCACGACAAGGCTAATTACTCTGAAAAAAATACATTAAGCGGCGCTCCTGAAGTATGCATACCAAGATGGCGTACACTGGAACGTAATATGTATACCAGGTTAGAGTTAGGCCATAATGTTACCCCAATTTTCCATATTTTAGCTCTATCACGAGTTCGGAGACTAGCCAAGTGACTCCCGTAGTATTTTTACCTAGAATTATGGCCTAACCCGCCATCTTGGTATGCGTACTTCAGGAATACCCATTAGACATACTTCGTTGATTCAAAGCAGGTGTATCCGTGCCTCAATGGAAGACGTTAATCTGGGACTATCGCGTGCGCTGCTTCCACCTTCGAATGTGTCGTGGTTCATTTTAGTTTATTTTTTACGAGAAAATTATGCAATCATCGCGACAAGACGCATGAAATAATTCAAAGGTGTGAATCTACAAATTGAATTTCTGACTGTCAGTTTAGGAATACTAAGACTGGGAGGAGGTTCGCGAATTTGATTCTTTTTGTCTCTTGTGCTAACTAGCCGTCTTATCTATGGTTAACTGTTTCTAAATTTATATAACATTTCGGGTTGTAATTGGCGCGGCGTTAAGTTCTTTTCCAGATTAAAACGATATCATACACACTAAAAATAAAACGAAAAACACCGTAAAATTTGTCCTAAGAGCCCCGCGACAGGTAAAACTACCGCTACCGCGAACTAAAACTATCGCTACCGCGAGCACTAAAGATGAAACGCAGTAAATTGCATCTGGGTGTATTTTTCTCATTTCTTCTGATTCTATGTCGATGCCACACGTCATATTTGCCCAAACTTATCAAGAAAGCTATGATCAATCAGTTCCCCATTCTTTCATAAATGCATTCCTTGGGATTCTATGCACGTTTCCCCTTCACGACCCCTGAAAGATTCTCCCTATACTTTTCAGAGCATTTTGGAGAGTTGGCGCTTACAAACTGGCTCACATGTTCAAAACTATTACTTTTATCCAAAACAATAAACCACGGGCCGCTTATAGGTAATGATAGCTAATTTTAGGCTTTTTATTTATGTAATGGACCTTTCCCCGAGCATCAACTTCCTTGTTTACTTCGTGACATTGGCCGATCGGCAAGGTGCAAAAAGTGACGTAACAATGCCCCCATTTCGCATCCGCTCAGACACTCTTCTCACTCAGACAGATTTTCAAGCGTGGTCGTAAACATTACCTCGTTTTCGCGTTCTTGAACTCTATTCGCTATTAATGATCACTCTTCCTAGGAGTTTTAATTTAATTGCAGTAATAAAATATTAGTGAATTAGCTGTGATCGTTGGCTGTGATAGACTAGACTAAAATTCTTTACCGATAATTTAAAAAAACAGATTGTTGTATGCGATGAATCATAATGACCGTTTGAAATTTGAAATACCTACCCCCATTTTACAGGCGCCAACTCGCTAAAGCACTCTTAAAATAGCCCCGAAATTTTGTTATGGTAAAGTATAGGAAGAATTTTTCGGCGGTCAAAGGTCGGGGAAAGGTCTATTAAAATGAGCCATCAGAGAAAAAACCTCTGTCTAGGCCTCTAAGCTAAGGTCTTTGGAAGACACAATGACAATTAAGGTATTTGATTTACACTTATTTTTTGAAAACACATCCAAAAACTGACAAATATTGCTGATTTTTAATTATCGCGGAAATAAAAGAGGAAATCGATTCTTGGGGAAACATTCATTGCAGGTCATCTATGAAAATTTGTGTGGTGCCCCGTTTTCCTTGGTGCCCTACTTACGCGCGTGCTTATTTTGCTCAATGGTTAATCCAGCACTGGCAGTACCCTAAATACGCAGATCAGCAGATCATATTGTCAAATTTTATTGATTTCAAAATTGTAAAAATGTTGCAAATCAGTTACAATCTATATATTGCTGATATAAATACCATGGTGTAACTTCCAGTCACGGACGAATGCACAAGTCACGTGATAGAACAAACACGATTCAAGTAACCTCCACGAAACATCGTTTAAAAAGTCACCATCATAAAATGGTTTACATTTGGCATCGATATGAAAAGTTGCAATATTATTACAGAATAAGTGAAATTACAGTACAATTTAATTATTACTAAAGTATAAAATAGTTTTTGAAACAGCATCAGGTTCGAAATATTTATATCAAAACAAATCGACGACGGGTTTCGGGTAGTTCTTCAGTTTGTATCTCCTTTTCTTTAAGAAGTTCGTCAACATACTGATATATTTCCGGAAAAGTAACACTAGGTGCGAACCGGTACCTGTATAAAATAATAAAACTTTAAGTATAGATATTATTTTTTAAATTCATTGTACAAAACACTAAAAAGTGCTATTCCAGTGAGTAGGAAACAGCTTATCGCATAGCAAGAAATCGCGTTTTTTTTTTGTTGTGACGTAAATATAGCCTACAATGGTTCAAATTCAAGAAAATATTATAAGTATTCATCTAGAATCTAGATAGCTTCTTTTTCATATATAATTCTATTTTCTCCCCATTTTGTTATTGATTCTATGTTTTTTTTAAATTTTATTCGAATCAAAGCAGTATTGGTGGGCTCGGGTCATTAACTCGACTTGAGTTGGACTGACTCGAATCATTTAAACGAAATCACTTGGACGAGTCATTAATTGACCGACAGTGATACTAAAATCAGTGATTGACTCGACTCAAAAATCGAGTGACCCTTGACTCAGGGTTGAAGGACTTCTAACCAACACTGTATCAAAGAATTGAAATGTGAGAGAAGCCAC